CTCCGCCGGACCCGGTTGCCTTGCTAGCAATCGATGTCACTACCGGGGAGCATGCGTTAGTCGCTGATTCTCGTGCTACGTACGAGGATTATGCCGCCCAGCTGGTACCACCATTAGACCAGCCTAGCCACGTGCATGTAGATTGCGTATGCGCAGCCTGTACACCGTCGGCAAGTGATCCGGTCAGTTCACCACTGATTTCCGAGGACTCGACGACGTGGTCAAGACTTGAGGAGCTTGATCCGCTCACGAGAGAGGACTTCGCTTGGATACCTCTACCCTCGACCGGAACATTGCCAAGGCCGCATTGCAACGCCTTGATGGCAAATCTACGTTTCTACTTGCACACTACAGTACCAGCTCCGTTGACGGACGRCGGGGTAGCGGTTACCGATCTCCGCTCCTATCTTGCGAAGATCGACCGCGAGCACGCCACCCAAAGGTACGCCGAAACCGACGCACCTTTGCTCTATATCCGCATTCAAATCGGAAAGGCAACCTGTAGTGCCTTGATTGATTGCRGAGCGTCTCGCAACTTCATGAGTCAAGCCTTTATGGCCCGCGCAGRTCTTGGCCCTCGCGTTCGAAGAAAGACGCAACCTACGCAAGTTACACTCGCGGATGGCCGTACGCAAAAGTCAATTGACCGATGCGTTGACGGCGTTCCGGTCTACTTTGCGCCACTTGCGTGCGAGCCGGTGTCTTTTGACATCCTCGACACCAAGTTCGACATGATTCTAGGCATGTCTTGGTTGCGTAGCGCCGATCATCCGGTGAACTTCCATGACCGAACCGTTCACATCCGTGATCGGAACGGAGTGTTAGTCCCATGAACGGTCGCGACCCCTCACACTTCGATTGCCTGTCACGTGGTTTCCGTTGCGAGAATTCGCGACGCCATTGCTCGGAATGACGTCGAGGAGATGGGCCTTGTATTCTTGCATGCTCTCCCCTCGCCGGACGGACCAGCTGCGTCACCGTCGGACCCACGCATTTCTCACCTCTTGGACGAGTATAGAGATGTCTTCGAGGCTCCCACCGGAACGGTTCCGGATCGGCCCATACGTCACGGGATCACTCTCGAGGCTGGCGCCGTCCCTCCGCGTGGATGTATCTCACCTGTTCTCTTCGTCCGGAAGAAGAATAAAGACCTACGGCTATGCATTGAGTATCGAAAACTTAACGCATAAACCGTAAAGAACGTCGGCCCTCTCCCTCGGATTGATGATCTCCTTGAGCGGTTAGGCGGCGTGACGTACTTCTCGAAGTTGGACTTGAAGCCAGGTTACCACCAGATTGAAATCCAGCCTCAAGATCGGTACAAGACCGCGTTGAAGACGCGGTACGGGCATTTTGAGTGGGTTGTCATGCCATTTGGACTCACCAATGCCCCCGCAACGTTTCAAGCAGCGATGACGACTGAGTTTCGCGACTTGCTCGATCGCAGCGTCCTCATCTACCTTGATGATATCTTGGTTTATAGTAGGATGTTGGATGAGCACATCGTACACCTTCGCGTTGTTTTGAATCRTTTGCGACTAGCCAAGTACAAAGCGAATCTCGACAAGTGTGAATTCGCCAGGCAAGAGCTTGAGTACTTGGGCCATTTTGTCACGCCAAAAGGCATTTGTCCCTTAGCGGACAAGATCCAAGCCATCATGGATTGGCCGGAACCCCGTTGCACTACGGATGTACACTCTTTCATGGG